AATTATAAAATACAGAAAAATGGAATGGCTGTCTGTTTGTAATCAAAATATCCCATTAAGTTAGGAGGGAAAACTCCCTTTTATTTCAGTAGCAGAACTTCACAAGAACTGCTTGACTCTAGTTTGCTCAAATTGAAGGGCAGGGGAAAAATAGCTTCATGGGTTTGGCTGTTCTTTTTTTGAACCCCCTGCCACAAAACCTATCAAACCATGTTTGCAAACTTAGACCTTGTGTTTTGGCAGAATTTGAACAAAAACCTCTAGAATAGCTTATATTGTGCATTGGATCATTTTAGCTGAGGGAATTTCTGGGGGGAAAGAGCAGGACACTTTCACCTTCTTCCTTCCTACGTAGAGTATTTGGTGCTGCTGCAAAACTGGGAGTCCCATGAGGACTTAATCCCTTGGTAGCCACTGAATTTTCCCACACACCTGTTTGCCTGAAATATGCAATCAAGCACACAACACCTTTTTATCTTGTGCTTCTCCCTTTCTTCCTGCTTTCCTTGCAGAACATCTTGCTGGGGTGGGAGAAGCAATACTGCTTTCCCCTGACAGTGTGTGGTTTGTGTCTGCTGTGTTACCAGGCATAACAGTGTGATAGTTCATGTGCTGATAAACTCTTAGTAGGTCACCCACTACCCTTTTTCCAGGTATTGATTTGAATTGCAGTAATAAAACTGAAGCTGAAAATTGCTTGAAACAATCAAGGATGGAAGAAATTGTTGCCTGTGCTTTCATTATAGAAGACAAGACTATGTTGGCTGCAGTGCAATGCCAGCAGCAAGCTTCCCGCTGTGCTGATATTACAGCTACACAGCTTGACCTAATTTGGATGACAGCTTCTCTATACATAAGCAGCCATGTTGACATCAGTATAAACTCTCATGAGGTGTAGTTAGATGGTCATCTTTGTGTAGGTGATCTGCGGGCTTGTCCTGCCACCTGTGAGTGCCTGTGGTTTCAATACACAGATACAATGCATTTTGAATATCCCAGGTATTTGGAAATGTCAGTTCTTAATAAGCAGGTATTTTCATTAAGTCATGGCTTTGTATGGATGTGCTAGGTTCTTGGATTTCTTCAGCATCTGCAACACTTGAGATAAGCTTGAGAATAAGGATATAAAAGCTATGTATTTCATACTATTTTTACTATCCTTCAGCTGTTAGGAAATCGACTTATCATCATCAAACTGCTGCTGACGTTCACAGCACTACGAATATAAAAATACTCGTTTCATGTTAGCTACATGTGTTTTGAATAAGAGCGTGTGTTATTTTCTTAGAAATTCCCATGTCTGTCTATCTGTCACTGTGTGTGGCAGCTGCACTGGTGCTAACGTGAGGATGGGAGAGTTCTCAGAGCAGTCTGTCACCATCGCCACCTCCAGCGACTGTCATCAGGCATACTTGTTTGCCTCTGGCTAACTGCGGTATGTGAATGTCCCTGCTTCCTGTGGTTTAGAGTTGCACACAGAAATGTCAATCAATCAGCCTGACAGAGCTAGTTATGTGGCCAACATGATATATTTGGATTCTCAGCTTTTATTTGGGATTGTGGGCCAAGTACAGAAAGTACATTCGGGAGCCACAGGCTGAAGACCAGCCAAAGCATTTCATTCCCACAGGCCACAAGGGATGCAACTGCAAGAGTTGGTAAACTTTACAAGTGAGGAAGTGTCGCTCCACTTTGTGGTGATGCAGGCTGTGACACAGCTTCATCTGCTGGTATCATTCCGGCTCCTTGGAACTTGAGGAGCGGGACTAAGCTTGGCTGTAAGGAGTACAGAAGATGATTGGAAATAAACCACTGCCCACAAAAGAGACAAAATGGAGAGGTGTGGGTCTCTGCAACTTCAATTCACCTTTTTTGAGAGGCTGTAGTTTGCTTAGGTGGCTTCTACCTATAAATGATCATAGAATCATAGAGTCATTTAGGTTGGAAAAGACTTTTAAGATCGAGTCCAACTGCAAACCCAACACTGCCAAGTTCACCACTAAACCATGTCCCCAAGCACCACATCTACCCGTCTTTTAAATACCTCCAGGGATGGGGACTCCACCACTTCCCTGGGCAGCCTGTTCCAGTGTCTGACTACCCTTTCAGAGTGAAGACGTTTCCTAATATCCAACCTAAACCTGCCCTGGCGCAGCTTGAGGCCTTTTCTTCTTGTCCTATCGCTTTTTACTTGGGAGAAGAGACCAACCCCCACCTCACGACAACCTCCTTTCAGGCAGCTGTAGAGAGCAATAAGGTCTCCCCTCAGCCTTCTTTTCTCCAGGCTAAACAACCCCGATTCCTCAGCCGCTCCTCGTAAGACTTGTGCTCTAGACCCTTCACCAGCTTCGTTGCCTTTCTCTGGACATGCTCCAGCACCTCGGTGTCCTTCTTGTAGCAAGGGAGTTACTTGGAGTGGCTTAAAATGGGACACAAGCTATTGCTCAGGAAAATAATTACAGGTTTGGCAAATATGCCTTGCAGTGAACAAGTAGGGGCCCAATCTATTTAACTTGTCAAGGAAGGTTAATAGATAATGTCATGGCTGATAAATACTTAGAGGGTAAACAGAGCTGATCATCAGCCCAGCAAACAGATATTAAAAGTTTGGTGTTTTGAAAATGAATACATACAGAGGACAAAAAAGCTATAGCTGTTTAACAGCAAGCATAATAAATCCTTAAAATCTATCCTTAAAATAAATCCTTAAAATCTATCAAGGGCTGTGGGGGCGTCTCCATCACCAGAGTTGGGTGATTTTCTAGTTCGAGCACTTCCCCTGGCACAAGAATTGCTTGGGGAATTGTGCGGTTGGTTTATGAAGGAGACCTGGCTGGATCATCATGACTCCATCTTGCTCTGTGATCTGAGGACTTGAAACACAAGGTGACTTTTAACTTCCAAAGTTGTCAGTCTAATTTTGCACCATAAATTGCATATAAAGCGACAGCAGAGATATTTTTTTAGATTTGTTCAAACTGCTGAAATTGTGACTAAATAATTTTAGAGTTGTAATGGTCTAGGGGTCTTGGGAAGACAGGGAAAACCAGAATGTGCACCCATAGAGCTTATTAAATAGCAAGCATGGGAGAATATTATACTTTGATAGCTGCTTTGTTTTTTTTTTTTCCCAAATGAGCTGCACTCTCATCCATTGCCTTGCTCTCCGTTTCTAGAGGCTTAGAACTAGTTTGTAAAGTGGAGTTAAGATCATTGGACTGCTTTAAAAGGTTCTCCTGCTAACGTCAGGCTTCCTGTGTCCTCCAAAGATTTTAATCTGTATTTCTCAACTACTTGGCTTTCAAGGTGTGATTAAAACAAAGTTGTAGGTATTGTTGATTGAATAGATGCAAAGATGTCAAATGGAGAATTTTGGAAAACATTTTTTCTCAATTTTTGTATTTAAAAAGGAATAAATGCTAGTTGTTGGGGTTTTTTTAGGAGAAAAAAAGGAAGACGGACTAAAAAAGCATTTTTTCAGTGATTTCAGTCTACAAAACAGCATCCTTTACCAAAATCTTCAGTTTTCACTTTCTCATTCTTCCCTTCCCCTCCCAGACACTATAGCATGTTTTTTTTTCCCCACCAAATCATTCATTTCTTCAGAAAAGCCATTTCTGGTGTGTGTTAAAATTCCCTTTAAAACATCAAAGCCATCACTGATTTCATTTTCACCTCAATGGATGGGACTTACTTAACTCTGCTCTTGATGATTGTCCAGGATGGAGCCGCCTGATATAGCTGGGACTGGCTCACTTTGGGTTGAAATAATGTAGGAAATGGTGTGGGCTCCAGAATGTGCTGAAGAGCACTGCGTGACCCCTGGAGCCTCTCAGGGATCTGGTGCAGCAGTGGGTGAGGAGAGAGGTTTGGGGGGGTCTGTGCCCAGGTCTGCCAGGACCCTGTGGGAGCTGCAGGGTGCAGGAATGGGGCAGGGACGGCTGCGGGGCGTTCAGGTCGCAGGTGGCCTGAGCCACTCTGCAGAGGTGCCTGTCCCCACTGAGTGTCTCACAGCACAGCCTCACTAATGCCCTCATTTGCACCACTTCAGCTGAAAGCAAAATAACACTTGAATTGTAAAATA